TATGTCCATATTGATTTTTCAAATGATTTTAATAGCTATGATTTCAAATAAAACATAAGATCAATAATCAGGATTCATATTTAGCTTTCTGTTTTTATGAATGTCTTGTTTCATCTATCACAGAAGCTCAAAGGAAAACAGAAACAACGAATGAAATGCACTGACTTCATTCAATTTCTATGTCTCTTTTGATTTCTTGAGAACATTTTAAATTTATTTAATTTCTCTACAACTCACTCAATTTTTCAAGGAAAGTTTTTCATCCATAAATCCCAGTGTATGGTACCTCCTCTTTAAGCTTACAAAGAAATTGTATGTGTGAACGCCTGTACTTAGCAGAATTCCTGGGTAAGTTAGTTATTGTAATGATTGTAAAAAAGTTTTTCAAAAGGGGAATATTTTATAAAATAGTTATTGTCACTTTTTCTAATATATTTACTAACTGAATGAATCACATTTGAAAAGACTTACCCAGGATTTATTGGATGATGAGCAAAAATATTTTATGACCAACACAATTATTTCTCAAATTCTATTAACTTCATGCTATGTGTGCATTGAATTGAACCAAATTTAATAGTGTATCTTCCTTACATACCATGTGGTTCCGAGGTGTCCACCACATCCCTTTCAGAAGTCACTTATTCTGAAATACAGGATTAAGCCCCATAGTTATTTTAGATTCTCTATTCAGAAGGGTACAGGGTGTCCTTTTCCCCTGCTCTGTAGATATAAGCTGCTCTTTGCTATAGTACTAATCACATTCTTCTCTGGTATTAGGGAGTGTGACCGACGATTAGCATTGTACTCTTAGCATATATATATATATACACACACACATATATACACATATATTTCCCACAATATGTGGTAGAGGGGCATTTCTAGGGGGGCAGAGTATTTTAAAAGTTACTCACTTGAACTTAGCCCAAAATTATAAATGAAAACATGTCAGAAGGCTGTTCTCTAAGGTCTCTAACATCTTCTTTGCGTTAGGGCGAACACATCTGCCATCTTTTAATTCTCTACCATCCTCTTATGAGAAATGTCTACACACCTATAGGAAATGCAATTTATTTCTGGGACCATCCTTCTTTCCCATACGTGTTCTCATGATTTCCACACTTATTCAGCATGGATTGTAGCCAAGGGACACATCCTGAGAGTCAGTGATGCCTATTGACAAAATTCACATTCTACAGATTTTCCTGCAGTTAGATATATATGGGACCAAGTGTGGACAAAGTTTCTACAGGTTATATTTATTTTGTCCATTGTGAAATGCCCCCCTATCTGTCATGTGAAATACCAGTACACCTTTAACTCTTGAAGTTTCCTTAGTCAGCAATGCAAATCTTTGAAGAAGATAGAGTAAATGACATATTGGTAAAGTAGTAGAAGTGCATACTGTAAGATAAGTTCTAGCCAAAATAAGCAAGCAAAGAGAGGCAACAAAGGGCCAGGTAATTTATTTGAATACCCCCAGGTGAGGTTCCATGGCATTCCTGTCACAGGCCAGGAAAGTCACGTGAAAGTAGACAGGCAGCGAGTTTTTAAAGAAGGTAGGGGGAGGCAGAGCTTAGATTTACAGTGGCGCCAGGATTGGCTAGCCTAAGGCACATTTTTCAGGTTGGGAGGGGGCAGCAGCCGGGAACTTTGTCACGTCATCACTGTCTGATGTGCTCCCCCCTCTCCCCAGTGCCTTCAACCTTATATTTCAGCCTTTTGGTCATAATGGGTAACGACTTGATCTGGCTACTTCTGTCTGACAAGGGGCGTCATGGGGTGGGGGTTTGTAGCAAGCAGCTATATTGCTCTGACTGCAAACATCTCGCTCTGCTTTCTCTAGAGGCCTTCACTTCACTCTGTTCAAGCTCATGGTTTTTGTCTCATTTTCTTTTCTACACATAGAGACTCTAGCTGCTGTTAGGGAGAAGGGGCGATGACTGCTCTGGCTGCTTCATGCTGAGAAGGAGCGTAGTAAAGGGTGCAGCTAGGTCTCCATCACTGGTCAGTTGAGAGGGCCTCAGAAAGTTTGCACTTTTATTCTGGAAGGACAAATTTGATGAAATTAAGAATGCATGGCTGAATATGAGAACTAGAAATATGAAGAGTTTAATTGAGAATTATAGCTAGGTATTACGGGGAAACTAAAATTTTGGATTGACTTTACGTTTCAATGACTAGTATTAGGATTTAGTATAGATAAGACTGCATTATTGAAGCAATACTTTTCTCTAAAATTACCCTTATTTTTATTAGAAGTAGCTAGATTAAGAAAATAATTAACATTTGGCTTTATTATTTGCATAAGTGCAGCAAGAAGAGCAATTGATTACACAGGCTCTTTTAAATGTGCTTTGCTGGAACTTTTTGTAAGGAATTTCAGATTGAACTTTTAAAGGACTTTTGAGGCCAGAAAGCCAAGTAAGACTTGTCATCAAGTTGTGCCTGTAGTACCTGTAGATTTGGGTGAATTTTCTTCTTGAGGTTTCCAACACATTCTTGAGGTTCCTGCATCTGCCAGGAAATGGCCTTCTTTACTCACCTGGTGAGGCTGCTGGGAACTCTGTAAGCAAGGTACCAGGCTTGTTATTCTAAGGGGCTTTGTTGTCTGTATAAAGTCAATCTTAGTTCTTTAAAGCTGTCTGTTCATATCTGAGTTGATACACATGTCTCTCAGGTATGACGTTACAGTCAAAGCTTTGGTAATATAACTAGTGTTTTTAATTGGTCCTCTTATAAAGAAAGCAGATTCTTATTGAACTTGTGCAAACAAATATACTGCCATGAAATATAAAAATAGTTACTGAGAATTTTTAAATTCTGGAGGGATTAGGTAGAGAAAAAGATAAAGTTTCAATTCTGCTTATAAAGGCAGTCATTTATTAAACTGTTGTTAGCTTAAGAGAAAAAGCTTAAAACACTTTATCAACATTTGAAATAAGAAGTCACAAAATTATCTTTCTTAGTTTATTTAATTCTATGTAACTAATATTTGTTTTGCTGAAATCTAGTTTTTTACTAGTTTAGGAGTAATAAAACAGTGACTATAGATGACAAAAGACATAAATGACAATGGTTAAAGATCTGATGAAAGCTTACTGTAAGACAATTGACATAAGGAAATTCTGATATTTCTGTAACACAAAACATTTAGTAACAAAGTTTAGCATCATTCTCTGTGACAGTGCCTTCTAGGTAATTAAGTAGGTAAATAAGCCAAATTAGCCAAGTATTTTCCTCAATGAGAAGAAATTCTTCTGACATGTTCCAGGGGCTCTGTGGAAAATATCAGAGTGAAGTAGAGGTAAAAGTACCTTTATGAATTTGATTTTTTTTGGCATTTGCTTAAATAGGATTATAGGTTGCTATGAAGAAATACTTATCTATTTAACCAGAATGACAACAAAATACCTCAAAGGCAAATAAAGGTTGTACAGTTGTTAGCAAAGTTTAGCTTTTAGTCCTTTTAATATTAAGATCTCATTTACCTAAACACTCTGACAACTTACTGAGAATTTAAGCATTAGAAACTGCTTTGATAAAACAATTAGAGAACTCATTGAAATTTTTTAAAATATTAAGAGTAGATTAACAGTTAAGAAAACTTTGTCTTTTTAACTGAAAATAAAATTTTAATTTTGCTGTGTACTTGATACTGAGATTTATTTGCTACACTTATTTAGTTTACTTATTTTTAACTATGCTAGGTTATTTACAAGACCTTTACTGAATATTAGACAAAGCCAAGCCTTTAGGCATTTATTCTTAAAAGATTTAGTAGATAACATCAACTTAAATGACATTAGGTAAACTTAGACAGCTGATAACAAGGACATGCCTGCCTCAGTCAAATTCAAATTAGCGTTAATGCTTAACAATTTTTATTAGATTTTCTGGAAGTTTTAAGATGCCTAATTTTCACAAGTGCTTGTTTTTAAATCAATTTTTATTAATAGTATCCAGAGGTAGGAAAATATTTCTCATTTACATACCTAGACACACAAACATACAAACTGAGATACAATGACTATAGTCAGAAACACTTTTTACATAAAAACATATACACAGATAGACAAACTGATATAAAGACTTGAGTTACTGATATCTAATTGCTTTGTTTTTCTCCAGCTTCTTGTTTGTGGCTTCTGGAATTAGAGGGCTGGAGGAGCATGTTCTGGTAGGGGAAGAGGGCGGTGAAGGCAGAAGGAGAGGGGGAGGGGGTGGTGCAGCCACTGGAAGAGGACAGCAGGACAACGGCATGGTTGAGAATGTAGGACTTTAAGATGGAGGTGACACGTGTGAAGACAAAGGACTTAAAGATGGTGGTGGAGAGAGGGGGAGGGGATTGTGAGCTGAGGGAGGTGGGCGACTGAGGTTTTCTGGTGGATCTGAAAAGGAAGGACTGGGCAGAGTAAGAGGCTGACAATGTTTAACTGGAGATCGGGCCAGGAGAACTTGAGTTATTTAATGTTTACATAAAGGTTTGGGTGGGGGTGCAAAGTCCAAAAAGCCTGCACATATGGGATTTCACTCTACTCTCTGCTCCAATGGCAATAATTAATCCAGGTGGTGAGGAGGCAAAAATGGAAAGTTCCCTCAGGGGGCCAGCGAGATTGATTGTCCAAGGGATACTGAGGCCCGGCCTCAGAGCAAAGAAAAACTAGCTTCCATTTGCAAACTTCCTGGGACAAACATAGAGTAACCAAATTAGAAATAAGGCACTGCAACCGGGTCTGAGCCTCTGCTTTTGAGGGCTGGTTCCCCATGTCTGCACCACTTCTCAACTAATCCCACTGAGAGGAGCACCCAGCATCTCAAGTGTGCCAAGTCAGGGGAGGAGACGGCCTGGGAGCCTGGGTGAGGGACATTTCCCACACCGCAGGCCAGGGGTGAGTATCCTGGATACTCGCAACAGATGGGCTGAATAGCCAGACCTGGACATAGCTACAATTTCTAATGGACCAGGTGAAACGGAGTTAGGAATGGAAGCAGACTGGGGGAAACTGAGGGACTCACCAGAAAATAGTCCACGCAGCAGAGAGCAGGCTGAGATCCTGGGTTAGGGAAGGAGGGGGCGGGGCCGCTGGTGGCCATTCGGGGCTCCACACTCACACTCCTTCCCGGAGTTTCAGCACCAAATGTAAGATAAATTCTAGCTGAAATAAGCAGGCAAAGAGAGGCAACAAAGGGCCAGGTAATTTATTTGAATACCCCTGGGGAAGGTTCCATGGCCTTCCTGTCACAGGCCAGGGAAGTCACGTGAAAGTAGACAGGCAGTGAGTTTCTAAAGAAGGTAGGGGGAGGCAGAGCTTAGATTTACAGCGGCACCAGGATTGGCCAGCCTAAGGCACATTTTTCAAGTTGGGAAGGGGCAGCAGCCGGGGACTTTGTCACATCATCAGTGTCTGATGTGCTCACCCCTCCCCTCAATGCCTTCAACCTTACACATACATCATAGTAAGAAAGAAAATCTTTCTTCAATTAGAGAATTTCCAGTATACCACATGGAGAGGCATATCCTTCCATTTTCTTCTTGCTCTATCTTGGAGCTAAGTGAAATAAATGAAGTATCTAGTTCTATTTTCAACAAATGTCTTTTTTCACCTCTGAGAATCAATAGTTCTTAATTCGAGGTATACTGATTTCTCTCCAAGTGAATAAATAGCTCTTTTCCCCATTTCATTAAAAAGGAATTTTATGACTATTTTTAAAACACACACAAAGAATATACATTTGATTATAACTGTGTTTTTTCACCCCCAAAATGTATGATTGAATAGGAAGGAGAAAATTTAAAATAACAACAGAACAAATAAATGGTATAGATGAATCTCCTGGTCATTAAAATACTGTTTTAGCATAAATGTCCTTTGCAATACATACCATCTATCAGAAACACATCCTTTCTCCTGTTAGTCATTTTTTAGACTTTCCTCTGGGAAAGAAGATATGGATATATAGATGATAGATAGATAGATAGATAGATAGATAGATAGATAGATAGATAGATAGATAGATAGATAGATAGATAGATAGATGATAGATAGATAGATAGATAGATAGATGATAGATAGATGATAGATAGATGATCTATTCCCTTTAAATATATATTCTCTTTAAATAATAAAAAATTATCAAGTAAATAAATATTCCCTTTAAAACCTCACAATCATGAAAAGTTGGTTTTACTATTTATGAAGAAAGTGCAAATTAGAAAGTTTGCCTAGTGTGTCCAGACTTCTACTGTTGGTACCTGGTGGACCAAGAACTAAGGATTTGAAGCCAGTTGTGTTTGAGTTTGAAGCTTACAGAGTTTTATTATTGTGTTCAAATATTTTACGGGAGCTATTTTTTTATTTTATAAATACTCTCAAAGTTAGGCTTAAATAGCTTGCTCAAATAATAGGGAGGAAAAAGTGGGTTGTGAACAGAATTTTCTCTAGTTGCATACTTATAGGTGTGAACTATTTCCTTCTGATTTTTTTAGAAAAAACCAAAACAGCATATAGGTACATATTTGGATAACTGAACTAAGAAGATATGGCATAGAAGACCACTATTAATAAATTTACATGTTGGCCCAATCATCATGAGGAAATACAGTTAAAATCTTTATTTCTGATCAATAGACAAAAGTTAAGTTCTATTTTATATTATTCACTTAGAAATATTTTCAAATCTACACTGTGGCTTTATGATCATCAATAGGTAAAAAAATAAGAGAACAAACAGAATTTTCTTCTCAATGGTCAGTAAGATACCTTCCTTCTTCTTCCAAGTATATGAGTGTCTGTCAATAGTACACTAATATCAAAATCAGTTTTGTTTTATTGGTCTACATGTTATAGGCCTACTTAAGTTTTTAGGGTAGCTGTATAAATTACGTATATTTAAAAATCAATAACATAAAAATCCGAACATTATTTTTTAAAGTAGAATATCTGGCAATATTAAGTTCATATGGTATGAACGGCATACTTTAGGAGTGTCAGAGTTGAGTCACCATATAATTCACCAGCAAAGGGATAAAATTTTGAGAGGGAAAGGGAATTTCATTAAATTGTGTGCCTTATTTTGAGGCAGAAGCCAGAACTGACTCAGCGAAATGGAGATGGATGTTGATGTCAGTCCTGAGTCTTGTAATAATCAAAGACCCCAGTGCTCCCTATTGACGCAGGCTCCAAGGACAAGTATCAGTAGTTCACTGCACTATTGTATTATTAAGAAGGGAAATATTTCTCACACTTATGTCACAAAGAAATTAGAGAAATGAAATGTGTATTGAGAGTATCTTTTGCTTTCAGCCTTTATACATTATCTTTACAAAGAATGTTAATCTGCTGGTAACTCCAATATTACCTCAAAAATAATATTCATTTTCTGGAATTTTGAAAATTATTGAGGGCTCCAGTTTCATAAGTACTTTGTTTCATTGATATTTTAATTATCCAAAAAACATAAGAATTCAAAACCTGCCAAGGAAAAGTGTTTACTATAAATAGACTTCAAGAAACAACTGTGAATAGGAAATTTTTTTGTTCTTAAAAATTTTAAATCAGTAGTTATTTTGGGATGTTAATCTGGAAAGTATGGTATAAAATATTGAATTTTCTTTCATGAATGCCAAGAGACTATTATATTATTACTATACCTACTACAGGCCTACAAAAATCATATATTAAAATAGGGGCTTGAACATATTAGTTTTATATCTTTCAAAAACCTCCTATGGATTTTTCACTAGAATTTAATTAAGGTATAATTGATATACACCCTTATGAAGGTTTTACAAGAAAAACAATCTGGTTCCTATATTCACCCACATTATTGAGTCCCCCCATACCCCATTGCAGTCACTGTCCATCAGTGTAGTAAAATGCCATAGAGTCCTCATTTGTCATCTCTGAGCTACATTGTCTTCCCCATGACCTGCCCCCACCATACCATGTGAACTAATCATAATACCCCTCAATCTCCTTCTTCTTCCCTCCCCATCCACCCTCCCCTTTGGTAACTGCTAGTCCCTTCTTGGAGTCTGTGAGTCTGCTGCTATTTTGTTCCTTCAGTTTTGCTTCATTGTTATACTCCACAAATGAGGGAAATCTTCTGTATTTGTCTGTCTCTGCCTGGCTTATTTACCTGAGCATAATACCCACTACCTCCATACATGTTGTTGTAAACGGTAGGATTTATTTCCTTCTTATGGCTGAATAGTGCACTGTGTTTATATACCACATCTTCATTATCCATTTATCGACTGATGGACACTTAGGTTGCTTCCATATGTTGGATATTGTAAAGAGTGCTGCAATAATAATAGGGGTGCATATGTCTTTTTGAATCTGAGATCTTGCTCTCTTTGGGTAAATTCTTATGAGTGGAATTCCTAGGTGAAATGGTATTTCTATTTTTATGTTTTTGAGGAACATCCATATTGCTTTCCACAATGAACTAGTTTACATTCTCACCAGCAGTGTAGGAGGTTTCCCCATTCACTGCATCCTCACC